GTGTGTGGATGTTTCTATAAGTCTGAGTCACAACTATCCACAGCTGTTCTGTGCTGTGAGCAGTGATCCAAGCTCTCTCTTTCTCTCTCTCTCTCTCCTTGCTCTCTCTCCACTCTCCTCTCTCTCTCTCCTTACTTTCTCTCTTTCCTCACTCTCCACTCTCTCTTCTTCCTCCCATCTCTCTCTCTCTCTCCTCGCTCTCTCTCCCTCTCTCCTTGCTCTCTTTCCTCTCTCTTTCCTCTCTTTCTCTCCTCTCTCTCTCACCTCTCTTCTCTCTCGCTCTCCTTGCCCTCTCTCTTTCTCGCTCTCTCCTCTCTCTCTCTCCTTGCTTTCTCTATCTCCGTCGACAGTGACTCAGTTGGTAGAGCATTGGCATTTGAGTCTGAAAGTTGTGGGTTCGAGCCCACCTCGTGACCTACTTCATCAACTCCCACTGATGTCAGCTGTCGTTGTGTCCTTGGACAAGACACTTAACCCACTTTGCCTATAAAGAGCGCGGAAGTAATGTTCGCTGCTTGCCTTGATGTATACGTATATGTGTACAGTATGTGTATGCATCAAACTGAAATTTCCCCATTGTGGGACGAATAAAGTAACCTTGCCTGCAAGCTGAATTCTCGCGGTATTTGTGAGTTCACATCTTGCACCACTCCCGCCAACCCTTTTCGAGTAGAACATCTAGGTGTTCAAGCCAATCACGCGCCAGTCTGGGGGTTTAGGGCGGGATATCCGGGTTCGACGAAAGCAAGAAGTGCCAGGCCGAAGCAAAACAAACATGGCTACGCAGGAGGACGGACACGTAGCTGAGGCTATCAAGTCAGTTTTAGCAGAATCTCCAATTTCTTTTTTGAAAGATGAACAGCGAGAGGCGCTTTGTGCATTTCTGGGCGGCAAAGATGTTACCGGGATTGGTTTAAGTCAAACCTTGGTAGGCGGGCACACAGCGTCACTTCGCCCAATCAGCTTGAAGTATTCTGCTGCTTATCCCTCCTTTCCCCGAAAGGATTCTCCTGCAGAAGTCCCAGATTGATATTGTGGAGAACGCATTAGAGTTCTACACAATCATCAATCTGGCTCCTTCCAGGTTACGAATAAAGGACCTTCTTCTTCTGTCTATCTCTCTATCTCCCATCTCTCTCTATCCATCTATCTCTCTCTCTCTCCTAAACTACTTTTTAATCATTAATTTCATGTGGAAAGAGAAAGTTAGAGACCACAGCTTAAAAGAACTAAGACCCATTGGTGTCAAGAGAGGTGGACGATATCTCGTTTAATCTTAACCCTGTTTCACGTCTTGGTGAGATCAGTGCTCCCCATGGTCTCAAGTCGAAATCCCTTTGATGGTCATATAGTCCGCTTCCGTACAATATAGAACCAGGTGACGTCAAAATACAAGGTGCAAAAATCTGACCGTTTTTCCTGCTAATCGGCACTTGACAAAAGCGTTACAGCGGCAACTCCTCTCTCAGGGTTTAAAGTTGAGTGCCACCCGCCAATAAAACTGCAACAAGAAGAAGACACTCTGCTAGTTCGTCAGTTCACCAATCATGGTAACTTTGCTCGTGGCTCTTGTTATACCAAGTCTTACTATTTTGCTATTTTGTCAGTTCTCAGTTTGCTTGTTTTTGTCCCTGTTCCTGTGCTCTCTGGATATTTTTCACTTACCTGCACCGATACCTACCAGCACCCAGCCTCTGCACCTCTGGATCCCTCTGCCCAACACCTGCCTGCACCTCTGGACCCAGCCTCTACCCCCCCTTGGACCCCACTACCCTCACTTGTAATAAGTTGTTTTTCTTCATCTGTTCTGGTCGTGCTCTTGGGTTCTTCCTGTTCTCGTAACACAAACAACATGAAATGGTAGTACAAAGGAAAAGTTAGGTACCCCAGCTATAATTTAGCGTCTTTATTCGCTTCGGGAAAAGACACGGGGGAGACGGACTTTTTCTTGCAGTGCTGTTTTTATTGTGAGCACTGGTCAGTTGCCGGAAGTTGCCTATTTGGCAGTTGCCGCTTTCCTCGTCGCCTGTTCGAGGTTGCCATTTGCCTGTGGTGTAGAGAGATACTTGTAACTGTCCTCAATGTCTGCTATTGTTCCCACTGGGAGTGAGATCCCTTCTGTGTGGACTACCTTGCCTCTCCGAGTCACCAAACTGCAAAACGTCCCTTGCTAGAAACTGGAAGAAGAAAAAACGCAAAAGACAACAATTTTGCTTATTTTAAGCAAAAAAATCTGCCAATGGGGTGAGACTTTTTTCCTTGTCTAGAATTCTTGTTTTAAGATTTTTTTCCTAATGTATAATGAGAAAAAAACAAGATAATAATTATTGATTTGAGCAATTTTCTTCCAGTAAAAAGGTCAGATTTAAGCAAAATATTCTTGTTATTAAAAAAAAACAATATATTGTTAAATGGCCATGGAGCAGGGAAGAGTGATGGAATTCAAAGGAAAGAGTCTCAACCAGATATAAATTGAGCCTGAAGGTAATTCTTGATATTATTAAAATATTTATCATTTTTATTATTTTCCCCTAAATGACACTTGTGTTTTTACTTTCTGTGCCACAGGGAGAGCAGTAGAGATCCTCTCAGAAACAGACGGGCTAAAAGAAACTTCAAGTGTAGGACCTTCACCGCATGGTAGTGGCAGTGCCCCTTCTGGTAAGTGTACCAGGTGAAGGGTTACAGCCAGGCTACTTGGCCCTAACCCTGGGAGTGTATTTCTAATATATTTTTTATTTCTCTCCCCAGAGCGTGTAAGTAAGCCATGGTCTGCATCTGAGGTGAAGGCTGTGGAGAAGACCATGATGCCTTTCATACAGACTGGAAAAGTCCCTGGGAAGTCTCACTGCCTGGCCTGCATCAACGCCTCACCAGAGGACCTTGGACATCGGACATGGAGTGGCATTAAATTCTATGTCGAAAATAGAATAAATGCAGTGATTCTATGCAGTGACCCTAGGTCCCCATAATGAATACCATTTAGATTAATGGGGAAACTGTTTAGAAGTTTCAGAGATGGCCCATAAGTGATGTAAGGTTGCTCATCGGCACCTCTGGTGGTGATGACTGGTAAGACACATAGGGCACTGTCCGGTTTCCGAAATGTGCTAAAAATAGCTCAGATGACTGCGCATGCGCGCATATCTCGGACAAACTCTGTCCGACTCCGTTGAGTACTACTGTGTTCTCCACATACGCGTGTGTATTTACTTGGGCTAAATCATGGTGACAACAAAACACTGCAGTTATGGTACTTGTGGGAGCGATTTCAGATACTCTGAAAAGGACTATATGAAAGCAGTAACATTCAACACGTTTGTTAAACCACACCATTGAAGCAGACCAGGACCAGACCAGAACAAGTACAAGAGGTGGGTTCGTGCTTGTGGTCGGCAGAATTTCTCTCATGAAAATGTTAAAAAGGACACATGTTTTTTCAAAACACTTCGCTGGACCAACTGTGGAGCATCCAGATCCAGTCCTAGCTACGTTTAGCTGGGACTGGATCTGGACGGCTGTATCAGGTCCGTCTGAGCTCTTCTGAATGTAGTTAGCCCCATCAATCCATATTAGTATTGTTTGTCCTAATCCAGAATGTATACAACTCTCACACCTGAAGAAAGATGAGAAGGATTTTTTCAACTTCGTGACTATCGGAAAATAAGCACAGACGAAGCGCGTCGGGTCCGGTCATTATACGGCTTTGTACCAACTGAACACACAAAATGAACTTCAGTCACTATCATACCGAAAGGTTTATTTAATGATTGCAAGGAAAATAGTTCCCAAAAGTTTTTCTGTGGCAGGCGAGTAACAGTGAGGATAGCTAACCTACTTCAAAAAAGCGATCGCTTTAGGCTATATCCACACGAAGACAAAACGCTTATAATTTCAGAAACTTTTTCTGTAAACACGGAGTTAGCTCAGTAAATGTGTGCGTCCATATGAATGTAGTCAATACGCCTGAAAACGCTGTGAAACTATGCCAGACCTGTTGGTGGCGCTGTGACGCAATGACGGGATCAAGCCCAAACTTCCGTGGGCATGCGCGGAATTTTGTAAACAGACAACATGGCGAGTGGGCGAGCTGGTACTACATTAATATGGACGGACGATGAGGTTGAACTGTTGCTTCGGGTCACACTGGATTACAAAACCAACAAGCTACATTGTTGTTGTCATTATTTTCTGAGTGCGGCGCATGCGTGCTTTAACAAGAGGCGGGGCGATGACGCAAGCGTCTCAGATACATTGCGGAGAGGCAGTAACCACGGAGCGGCATATACGGAGTTTTGAAATCTTTCCACTCTGGGACCTAGTTTCAAAAATGTTCGTTTACACCCCCCCAAAACGCCGGCCTCGTATGGACGATACATTGGATTGATAAAGTATTTTTGCGTTTAGGCCTGAGCTTGACTTCGTGTGGACAGGGCCTTAGTCGCATTAAAAAAGTATTTTTTTTTGTCATGAAAACCTTAACAGATAATTCTGAAAACCTCCGTGCACTTGTATTAAGAATGTGTGTGTGACGTGAGGGTGTAGAGGAGGGAAGATTTAACAACTCCAGCAACGCCAGGTGGTCTAGAAACCAACCAAATATTATGTATACTAAGGCACACAAGTTGTGGACATAGGAGACGCGAGACTGCACTTACAAAACAGGTCACAAGTTTATTTTTACAATTATAATTTAAATGCAACAAATAGGCCTTTCATAGAAAACATTTTTAAAAGGTATTTTTTTAAATGTTGGCAAATCAGGACCCAAGGACAAAAAGAAACTAGTAATTAACTGAAACAAATCATGCAATACAAGAAAACAAACAGCAAGCCATGCCATTAAGCAAACAAAAATAGGAAAAAGCCATGCAAAAAAAAGCAAAGTCAAACATAAGGGACACAAAATCAAGACAAACTCACCACACGACTCAGAATAAACCTAAATAAACAAAAAGAAAAATTGTTAACGAAGGTCCATGTGCCACAAGACGTGCCCTTTAAGCTGGAGCACTCGCACTTGTGCACGCTACAGCCGCGTGTTCGGAGCCAGGAGGCCACACGTGAGCGCGCTCCAGCGTTCCCAATGCGGGACAGACGTGGACAGAACAGCGGCTGCCCTTCAGAGTGGCAGCCCGGGTATGGACCACACGTGGAGCGAGCCTGAAGGACAGGCACAAATTTTAACATTGTAATCAATAACTAGACTATAGTTTTTGAGCTTACCTGCCAGTGAAAGGCACGCATTCACGGCCAGTGGGAGGAGGGGGAGAGCCGGTATGGGTACCAGACTTGTCCCAGCTGCAGCTCAGGGTCTGGGACAAACAGGTTTATGCTCAGCTTTGGCTTTGAGAGCCAAGAATGAAAGGCTGGACAATGAGCGACCTACCTCAATTTTGGAGCACCCAAACTCGCGACAAAAGCCAAAGCGTTTCTTCACGCGCTCCAGCGGGCTCCAACCACGTCAAGCTGCCAGTCACTAAACATGCGACCACCACACACAGGCCAAGACTCATGTGCGCGCGCCGAGCACGCACCTGCTTTTAATGGGCTCTACAACCCCAAGCCAATCATCTTTCAGTGCGGTGCGCACCGACATGCCACATTCTCTCCCCCCCTTAATGTGTCGTCGCCCCGACAACCATTTAGCCATTTAGCCTAACACCATGGCCGAAAGACTGCCCCTTGCACATTCACCAACCCTTGAGAGGTACCACCACGAATAAGGGGAAGGTGATGCCAATTCGAATGTTGCCCAGCGGTTGTCCGTGCAGTGCGGCGCAGGCTTTGGTTACTAGGCTGACTGCAACCCGATACGGATGCCCCTCCTGGCTGATCTGCAACAGTGGGGCCCTCGGCAGTGGGGACAGGGGCCCTGGCCACACCGCCAGCTGGGTTTTGAGGCTCGGTGTCACCCGCCACTGAACAGAAGAACCATGAGTCTCCCAACTCAGAATTGCTGTCAGGTGATCCGGAGTTGGACGGGTCTGTCCTGAGGGATTTTGGTGGGGAAACAGTCCCCGAATGGGCCTTTAACATGTCCCTGTGAACATTGCGGGGTAATTGCAAATTGTCGTGGGGAGCCACTGTATAGACTGGCCCGTTTGTTGTTCGTTCACATGGTTTTATTCAAAAGTAACACCGCCGTGCCACTAGAGGGCAGTAATGCACTTACAACATACATTGTAAAATTACTATTACAACACTCCCACTCAATTTTACCATGGTATTTACATTTTCTTTACAACAACAATTATATATATGTAACTTTAAAGCACTGTTATATAACACACCTTTCTTTTCCTTTTTAACACAAACGTGTAATAGATTTAAGCCTGTTTTAACAAAGAACACAGTTTAGGCATTTTAAACATTTTTTAAATCCTTTTTAAACTGGACACAGTCCAATCTCCTTTCTGAGATATTCAAACTTTTGTTTAGGCAATGGCTTAGTTAAGATATCAGCCTTCATTTTATCTGTTGAACAATACATCAGTTGTATTTGTCCATTTTGCACACACTCACGAATGTAGTGGTAACGAATGTCTATGTGCTTGGTTCTTGCATGGTCAACAGGATTCTTTGCGATTGCAATTGCTCCTTGATTATCCTCCTGTATCACTGTTGGTGTGATATCCATTCCAAGTTCAGTTAGTAGTCGTCTCAGCCAAGTTCCTTCTTGTGCAGCCTGGCTTAAAGCAACATACTCTGCTTCTGCAGTTGAAAGTGCAACTGTTGCCTGTTTTTTGCTTAGCCAACTGATGGCTCCTCCAGCAAGAAGAAAGATGTTTCCAGTAGTAGAGCGTCGATCATCCTGATCACCTGCCCAATCAGCATCTGAGAATCCAACCAAAGTTCCAGTGTCTGATCTCTGGTATTTGAGTCCCAGGTTCAACGTGCCTTTCAGGTATCTTAGGATTCTTTTCACAGCTGTCAGATGTGCAGTGTTTGGGTTTGCATTGAACTTTGAAACAACACTCACTGCTTGTGCTATGTCTGGTCGTATGGCCATGGCAGCATACAGTAAACTTCCAACCATTGACTGATAAGTACTTGAGTTGACAGGTTTACTGACATCATCAGTTTTTTTCAACTTCACGTTTGTGTCAGCAGGAGTCGCGACTGGATTAGCACTGTCCATTCCATACTTTTTTGGGATGTTTTCAAGGTATTGTCTCTGATGAAGGATAACGTGGTTGTTTGTCTTGTCTTGGACCACTGAGATGCCCAGAATGTAGGATAGTTCACCCATGTCCTTCATTTTATAGTGTTTCTTCAGTGTGTCCTTTAACTTGTCCATGCTCTCTGTTGACTCTGTAATCAAAATCAAATCATTAACATACACAGCCAATATTTCCAACTCCTGACCTGTTCTAACAAACACACACTGATCTGAAGTACTCTGTGCAAAACCAATGTTTTTCATGAACTCTGTAAAGGCTTTGCTCCAACAGCGTGGAGACTGCTTGGGCGGCACGGTGGCTGAGTGGATAGCACTCTCACCTCTCAGCAAGAAGGTCCTGGGTTCGAATCCCGGTCGGACCAGGGCCTTTCTGAGTGGAGTTTGCATGTTCTCCCCGTGTCTGCGTAGGTTTCCTCCGGGTACTCCGGTTTCCCCTACCACTAAAAATATGTACAATAGGTCTGGCATGCGCCTCCTGTACTGGCGATCCCGCTCTATCTCTGTGTGGAGTGAGAGGACAAATGCCCAAAACAAATAAATAATAATAACAATTGTAAACCGCTTTGAGACTCAGATCTGCAGTGAAAAGGCGGTATATAAATAAAGATTACTTGCTAAAGATTACTTACTTCAGTCCATATATTGACTTGTTTAGTTTGCACACCAGATGTTCTTGTCCTGGTTTGATATAACCCTCTGTTTGCTCCATGTAGATTTCCTCTTCCAAGTGTCCGTTAAGGAATGCAGTTACGACGTCCATTTGATGCACATTCAAGTCATTTTGCACAGCAAAGGATAAAAGTGTACGAATTGAGCTGAATCGTACCACTGGTGAAAACGTTTCATCATAGTCAGCACCGTAAATCTGTGAGTAGCCTTTAGCAACAAGTCTGCACTTGTATCTTTCCACTCGTCCATCACTGTGATGCTTGACTTTGAACACCCATTTTGATCCGATTGCTTTGCGATCCTTTGGTAAATCCACCAAGTCCCATGTATCATTTTCCAGCAGTGACTCATATTCCAGATCAGCTGCTTTCTGCCATTCCTTTGCGTTTGGACTTGACATCGCCTCTTTAAGCGTATTTGGCTCTGTGACACAACACATGTTGGCATAGTGCTCAACTGTTACAATGTCAGCAAACTCGTCATATCCGTATCTCTTTGGAGGTTTTCTGATCCTGCGACTTTCTTTTGCAGCTTCACTGACAGTAGTGTTCTCAGTATTTGTTTGTCTTTCCTCTGTGTTCAGTGTCACCTCATTTTCTGAACTGTTTTTCTCATCCCGTTTGCATCCAAAGTCTGTTTCATTGAATACAACATCTCTGCGAATGAGCATCCTCCTCTTTACTTCATCCCACAGACGGTAACCTTTGGCGTTGGTTGCATATCCCACGAAGCGAAGCTTAACTGCTTTTTTGTCCAGCTTCTTTCTCTCTGTGTCTGGGATATGAGCATAAGCAACACAACCAAATGTTCTCATGTGCCTAATGTCCGGCTTTTTGCCATACCACCTTTGATAGGACGTCTCTTCTTTTATAGCAGATGTGGGTAACCTGTTCTGTATGTAAGCTGCGGTTGCAACAGCTTCTGCCCAGTACATGTTTGGTAGCTTTGCGTGAGACAGCATACTTCTAGCTGCTTCCACAAGAGTCCTGTTCTTTCTTTCTGCAACACCATTTTGCTGAGGTATATGTGGTATAGTCATTTCATGGTGGATTCCCTGAGCTTTCAAATATTCTTGAAACTCCCTTGATGTGTATTCTCCACCATTGTCTGTTCTGAGTCTGTCCACACTCATTTGAGAATATCTTATCAAACTCTTTGAACTTGCTCAGAACCTCACTTTTTTCTTTCATAAAATACACTTTACAGCACCTGGAGTAGTCATCAATGAAAGTTACAAAGTACTTCTTTCCACCAAGTGATTCAGTTTGCATAGGACCACAGACATCACTATGTACCAATTGTAACTTGCGTTTTGATCTGATTTCTCCCACTGGTTTGCAAGGCTTCCTTGACATTTTGCCCACAAAACAAGCTTCACAGAACGTTTCCTCCTCTTCTGCAGCAAGGTTCACTCCTTTAACCAGGTTTTTTTAGTCCTTTTAAGTTTGAAGTGTGGCCTAAACGCTGATGCCACAAACTTACTGCAACTGATGCACTTGATGCTCCATGACAAGTTGTGCAGCTTCCCTCGGAGTCCAGCTGATACAACCCGTCAGTTCTCTGTGTTCCCATTCCATGAAGAGTTCCATCCTTTCCTCGTATGTAGCAGCGAGACTTTTTGAACTGCACTGTATTTCCTTTCCTGGCAGCAGCTCCCACTGAGAAAAGATTCAGAGATAATTTGGGAACATACAGTACATCATACATTGTGACATTTTTGACACCACTAACTCTGAATGTCATTTTCAGCTTTATGTTGCCCAGTCCTAGAGCCTCGACCACTCTACCATCACCAAGTTTAACAGATTGTGGTTCTGAGAACTGCTGGTAGTGTTGAAGTCCTTCTTTGTTCCACGTCATGTGTTTTGATGCTCCGGAATCAATCAACCACTCTCCTTGTTGTGAATCACTTTGTTGACTTGACTCGCTTACAACGAAGGCACCCTCACATGAGTCCTCTGTATCCTCATACATCATGCTTTTAGCCTTGTGGGTTTTGTATTTCTTTTTGTTGCTTGGACAATCACGTTTGATATGTCCCTCCTTTCCACATTTGTAACATCTCCATGAGCTGGGACTGTCTGCTCCCTCTGATTTTGACTTGTTCTGCATATTTCCACGCATTTGAATTGACAAGGCTGATGCACCACTGGACGCTGTGCTGTTGTCAGCATGCACTCGTTTTTGTTCCTCATTTATCAATGCCTGTTGGACAAACTGTAGTGTCAAATTGTCCATCTTTGTCTCCAATGCAGTAACAACTGTTGCATAGCTGTGTGGTAGACTTCCTAGAAGAGTCACAATTTGATCTTCTTCCTCAATCACAGAGCCTATGGCACCTAGCTTATCAGTGAGCTCCTTCATTCTTTTCAAATGATCATTTAGATTTTCTCCTTCCTTCATTTCACATCGGAAGTACTTTTTCTTTAGAAATAGCTTGTTAGCAACCGTGTCTCTTTCAAATTGCCCTTTTAGTGTCTCCCATGCTTCCTTGGGGGTCCGGCAGCTTGTTATCAAGTATAGCTGGGGTGTACTTACATTTAACACCAACACCGAAAAAGCTCTCTCTTTCTTTCTTTCAAATTCGGCTCGGGTGTTAGCATTAGCATCTGCGGCTAACTGATCCGTCTCTTGTACCATACCCCACAGTCCTTTTGCTTTCAGAAGATGCTCCAACTGAAATTTCCATGTTGCCCAGTTCTCAGGTCCGCTCAGCTTGTCAATAAACAGTTTATCTTCCATTGTGAATCCCACAATACTGTTTATGACCCACAAAATCCGTGTTTAGCAGCCTTTTTCAGCGATCTCTGGGCCCATAACCTGTTGTTCGTTCACATGGTTTTATTCAAAAGTAACACCGCCGTGCCACTAGAGGGCAGTAATGCACTTACAACATACATTGTAAAATTACTATTACAACACCGTTGTCATTGGGCGCCTTCAATACCTGAAAGAGTTCCGTGTGCCAAAGGTCCTGGATCTTATGCCGCCCCTTTACGCCATGATTTCTAAGATACACCAACTGTCCAACCCCCAAGGGTGCCTCCCTGACCCGGATATCATGCCTCGCTTTGTGTTGTTCAGCTTTCAAGGCGAGCCGTGCTTCTGCCACAGCAAAGGCCACCTGAAGTTTGGAGCAGTGCTCCAACATCCAGTCCTGCACAGTTCCTGCGATGGGTTCTTTAACTCCGCCCAAGAGGAAATCAATGGGGAGTTTAGGCTCACGCCCAAACATTAAGAGGAATGGTGACTCGCCAGTACTCTGATGTGGGGTAGTGTTATAAGAGTATAACACTTGAGGAAGACAAGAAGCCCAGTCCTGTTTCCGAGAGAACGGGATGGTGCGAAGAAGGTTGTGGAGCGTGCGGTTAAACCGCTCGCATTGGCCATTACCAGCTGGGTGGTATGGGGTAGTCTTGGATTTCTCAACACCGTAGAGGTTGCATAGTTGGTGGAGCAAGACACCTTCAAAACTACGCCCCTGGTCGGAATGAATTGGCTTGGGACTCCAAACTTATAGAACCACTCGTTGGTCAGGACTTTGGCAACAGTTGGTGCCCGTTGGTCTCTGGTTGGGATTGCCAAGGTGTACTTTGTAAATACGTCGGCCATTACCGACACATTTTCAACACCATTGCAAGTTGGCTCCAACATGGTGAAGTCAACAGCCAGAATTTTGTTAGGCCGTGATGCCAGCAAATGGCCCATGTAACTGTGGAAAATGGGTGCTGGATGTTTCGCAGATTGACATCTGTCGCACTCTAGTACCCACTGTTGAATGTCCGCTGACATCCCTGGCCAGTAGCATCTTTGACGGACAAGTTCAGTTGTCCTCTCAATGCCTTGGTGGCCATGCTCCTGATGGAGCTGTTGCAGTGTCTTCTGCCTTAATGTTGCAGGGAGGAGGACCTGAAAGGTCTCTTCCCCTCCGTCCGGCCGTTGAACACAGTGATACAACACGCCCTCGCTCTCAACTAGACGGCCCCACTGTTGGAATAAGACTAATGCTGACCTGGAAAGGTGATTTCGCTCAATCTTACTGGGTGGGTTCTTTCTCTGCCAATAAACCAGGAACTCCCTCAAAAGAGGACCGGACCTCCGTAAGGCACCGAACAGTCCGGCAGTGTCGAAATCAGGGACTGCACTACCGCAAATGGCTGAGCCGTCTGCTGAAGGGCAAGTGGAATTGAGCTCCCTGGTAACACACTAGTGGCCAAATCTGCAGATGTCACGTACTGTCTCGACAAGGCATCCGCATTCCCGTTGCTTTGCCCAGAGCGGTATTTTATCTGAAAGTCGAAGGCCGCCAGTTGTGCCGCCCACCTGTGTTCCAGGGCTCCAAGCTTTGAGGTCTGGAGATAGCTCAGCGGGTTGTTATCCGTGTAAATCACACACTTGTGTTCCAGCAGGTAATCCCTGAACTTCTCGGTCATGGCCCACTTGAGCGCAAGCAGCTCCAACTTCATGGAGCTGTAGTTAGTCATGTTGCGCTCAGTTGGCCGCAGACCTCGACTGGCATATGCCACAGGCCGTAAACCTGTGGGGGTCTCTTGTGAGAGCACTGCACCCAGGCCGCTGAAACTGGCATCAGTTTCGAGGACAAACGGCAGCGAAAAGTCAGCATAGGCCAACACAGGCGCAGAAATGAGCTTTGCTTTTAAGCCTTCAAAGCTTTCCTCACACTGGGGTGTCCATAGTGAACCCAAAGGCTGTCCAGATCCCTTCCTATTCTTTGTACCAGCCAGTGAGGCCACCAATCTATATAGGGGTGCGGCCAAACGGGCAAAGCCCTCCACAAACCGGCGGTAGTAACTGGGAAAAACCCAAGAACAACCGTAATTCAGACGGGTGGGCTGGTCGTTTCCACTTGGCCACGGCTTCGATTTTTGATGGGTCTGTGGAAACACCCTTGCTGGAGATTATGTGACCAAGATAGCCAACTTCTTGCTTGAAGAAGGCACACTTCTCCATTTTTGCCTTCAAGCTCTCCTTCTGAAGGCGACTCAGGACCAGCTCCAGTCGTTCCAGATGTTGTTTAACTGAAGTGGAGTAAACTACTATATTGTCTAGGTACAGAAGTAGGGAATCGCACTGCTTGTCCCCAAACATCCTCTGCATCAGACGCTGAAAGGTACCCGGAGCGTTGCACAAGCCAAACGGCATTCTGTTCCATTCAAAAAGACCAAATGGAGTACAGAATGCAGTCTTAGGCTTGTCCTGCTCTGCAACCGGAACCTGATTGTATCCACTGGCCAAATCAATGGTTGTAAACCAACAAGCCCCCGACAGCGCATCTAAGCTCTCCTCAATGCGCGGCAGGGGAAAGGCATCCTTCCTGGTCTTACTATTAAGGAGGCGGTAGTCAACGCACAAGCGAAGACTCCCGTCCTTCTTTCGGACCAGGACAATGGGAGATGCATAAGGACTAGTACTTTCCCTGATTACCTGCGCCTCGAGGAGCTGGTTTATATGTGACTTAACAGCCTCGTATTCGGACGGGGGGAATACGCCGATAGCGCTGCCGGACAGGAACTTCATGGTCAATCAAGCTGGTGCACCCCAGGTCACCCTCATGTGCTGCGAACACGTCCCTGTAATTCTGCAACAGAGCCCTGACTCCTGCCCGTTCGCCCTCACTTAGGGCGGACAGGTCCGCCTCCTCCAATTTGCTCTGGATCGATTCAGCCTCTGCCTGGGAGGACACGGTGGCTGCAGCGGAATTCACCTCTGTGACTCCCGGAGGTAAACTCACTACCTGTGCCTTACTCAGGGATCCTAGGGTGGTCCGGGGATACAGGAGTGCATCACTTGTCC